ACACCTGTCTCTCCTGAGAATGCCTGGAGCCACCACTCGAGTTCCACCTACTGACTGCCCCCACAGTTGGCTCTGCCAACCACCAATGACTGTTCAGCAGTTACGTCTTCTCTCTCATCCATCTGAATTGTTGCAAATGGAAAACACCAGACAATATTAATATTTTAAAATTAGCTAAATGACACAACTGCTGGTCTTGGAATCTATTGTCCTAAACTCATCAGCTATTCTATATCAGAATTCAACCAGTGGCCGCCACCTGATCTAATAGCCCCCAGGCATACTAGTGTCTGTTTTTCTCCACTCTCACAGCCTGGTCGGGGGTGGGGGTGGGTTTGGGGTGGGGGGGCCCATTCTCTATGTCATCTCCTCCTCCTGGGACCTGGGAAATTCGCCTCTATATCTTTGCTCAGCAATCGGCTTTTACTGTCTTTATTTACTCAATCAAACAATTAGAGAATCTCCCTCTACATAGACTCTACGCGCAGCCATGACTGCTCTGTAGAGTGGTGTTTGAGCAGAGTTCTGGAGAAATCTGGGACTGGGCCATATTTGCATGGAGGGAATCTTTGGGCTGAGAACAGCATCTGACTGGCCTGGTCTGGTCACCTACCAGTGAATCATGTGGGACATGGTCCAGTGGAGAACAGGATGGATGAGCAGGGAGTATGTGCCAAAAGGAAATGGGCTTGCTTTGACTAGAAGAGGCCATACAGACTCAATAAGCAGGAAAAAGATGTCCACTGTAGCTGAGGGTATCAGTTCTCTCAGTGAATTCTGCCCACAAACAAGCAGAAGGCGAAGGAAATGGAGAGTACTCAGGCTCTGGACATGGCAGGGGTGAGTTGGACAGAGAGATCTCTGGAAGTCACATGGATTCTCAGAATCCCACAGACTTTTTCAGGAGAGACACAGCAAAGCAGGGAAAGATGGAGACTTCATGGACTATGATTGACTCCCAAACATAGGTGTTGGCATCTACCCTCATTGTCCAGAGGAAGTGACTTTTTCCTTTACAGTCAAAATTTCCACTGGAGACTGCAGAGCAGAAGAAACTACCATTGACACCTGCAGATCTCACTGCCTCAGGGGAGAGGATCTCACCCAGTTGCCTGTGCACTGAGGTCTAAGAATGAGGCCCGATAGGCAGTAGTGTTCACCTTCTTCTATCTTGCGTTTGAGATTTTGAAATGTCTTCATGTTTTAGCATGTATCATTGATGTATTCTTTAAGACTGACGAGCAGTACTCTAGTGCATGAACTTACTCCAGTTTTCAGTCCACTTATTCCCAGATCTTCTAGGTGTTTCCAGTTTTGGCTACCACAAATAAAGTACCACAAATACTTACAGCTTCCTGAACACACTTCCAGACTTCCATGCTTTTGCCCATGCAGGTTGCTCTGCCTACATCCTGAGAAGCTTACACCAAAAGTCATCCTTTCACAAGACCTTCTCCCTTGGCTTACTACAACAAATCCCTCCTTCCCTCCAGTCCTCAACATAGTGTTGATATCCCATCTAGTTAAGGCACCTTGAATCATAGTTTTATGTGTTTCTTCTCTGGGAGACCCTTTGTTAGTCAGACTTACCTTTGCAATGGCCCTAGCTTGACCCAGTGCCTTTTCAAAGAGGATGCAGCTGAAGAAGTGACTTATTCAGTGCTAGGGTGTGTAGCCAGAAAGGCTTCCATAGGCCTTCCTCTGTAGGCCGACAAGAATTTGAATTTGACTGTATAACTAAAAAAGCTACACCATAGAGTTGGAATCAATTCACCTGAACAACCTCATCTGTGACTCCTTCAATGCAGCCCAGGGGTTTTGTGATGAAGGAGAAATATCTTTTATTCTTCTTGAAATGGGAATGACAACTTGATAGGGGCTGAGGAAATTCGGGAGAGTGTGGCCACAGGTGACCTTGCCTCTTCTCCCTAGTCTCCACTGAGGTCTCCAGAGCCACTTAAGAGCACAGGAACCAGTGTCCTGGTTTGTCTAGTACCAGTGGTTGCTCTTTTGAGACCTTAGATTTAGAAATTACCTGTTCCCCTCATGGGGTAGCAGGGGAGAGAGTCACCATTCTACTTAGCCTCTTATGCCACGTGAGCAGCTAATTGCTGAGACTTAGCTCTACCTCCCACAGAGGAAGTTTTAAGACAACATAACATTAGAATCTGGCATGGTGACACTCTTTCAATCCAAACTTACAGTGAACCAAGAATAGAGCAGAAAGATGTGAAAAATGTATAATTTGGCAAAGAAAGCGGCATGAGCTAATCTAAAGTTGGCAGGTAGCTGAGAACAAGATCAAGGTAATTACTAAAGACATTTGCACAACTGAAGAGAACCCTTGCTCTTTGTACTGGAGCAGTAATAAAAGTACCTAGAGGGCAAGACCTTTCTCATGGGAAACAGCCTGTGACAACACAAACTCATTTGGAATACTTTCATTTAGGAAGAAAGTACTTGAAAAGCAGAGGCCGAAGTAGGGAGTTCAGGGCCTCCATGTCCCAACAAGACCACACCTACAACAGTGTTTCCTCAGCTTCATCTGCCTTGACATTCAAAGTCCACAGTAATCGTGGTGAAAGAGACCAGGCTACATCTTGTGCTGATAGGAGAACTTGGGGTCGTCTCCCATGTAGTACTTGGCTTGAAGTCATGTAGACAGGGTTACAGAAGCTTACAGCAAGGTTTCAGAGTGCTCAGCCACAAATAAATGTGAGCATCACCCTTCTCCCAAGACTCAGGAACCATTGTGGAAGAGGGGCAGAGAGACATTACATCACCGAATTTTGAAAATTTCATCTCTAGTTTATAAAGTAGCTGAGGTTTTCTGGTGACTGTTATTTGATGGGTTCTCCATCTGCTGGGTAATTGTGTGGGGTTGCTGTACACATATGCCATTGTGCCCAGGTGTAAATAGAGGGACTACTATACCCCTTCCAGATCTATGAATAAGAAACCGCTTTCACACCAGAAGAACTGTCTGGGGACGAGGACTCATGTCCACGTTGGCCTTTTTATAGTGTTCAGTTCTGAGTGGGTGTGGTTTGCTTGGCATTGTAAATTTTATCTTCCTGTGCATACAGGAATACCTATACCTTAAAGAAGTGCTTTCTATCTTTGGTTGACAGAGGAGGTTGTAGACAGGTTTTCAAGGAGTTTGTCAAAGTCCTAATTTTATACATGAGAAACACACTTCTGGAAGGGCACCATGTATAGGCCTTGCCTCTATTCTGGACTTCTGTGGGCAATGGAAGCACAGTTCTACTGTAACAGTGGACAGTTCTGTAAAACGAGCACTGTGACTTATATTTGTAATGGTGTGGAAGGTGAGTGAAAGGATTAAATTACAGTCTTGGTTTTGTCTGTGATTTTAAGAATAATGTTGGGATAAAAATTTATTCAGGTGTAGATAATGAAGTCGAGTGAAGCCGTTTTGATAATTTTCTGGTAACAATAAGCTGTTTGAAGGCTAGGTGCTTAAACATCTATTTGGTGGCTATAAATGAATGACAGGAAAAATGAGAAATGCTCAACACCCATGTCTGCTCTTTATGCCTGTGTGCAGCAGTGACTTGAAGATGTCTATGGATCAGCCCCAAAGACAGAGTTTAGTAGGAGAAAATGGGTCAGGAGTATTTCAGTGACTTTCAAGGAATTCCATATCCCACCTCAAGATTTCCAATTTGCATTTCAGAATTTTCAGAATTATAGAGATAGAGGCAGAAATGGTGGTGTGTGCCTGTGCCTTCATAACCTGAAGGCTAATGCAAGAGCACCCCAAGGTCAGGGCTAGCCTGGGGTACCTCCCTGTCTCAGAAACCTAGCAAAATAATGCTAGTAACTTTGTTCTTTTTTTTTTTCTTCTGACACAAATTCATTTTGATGGCAAAGGTTTTTTGAATCCAGGGACTGCCTTTCTGACATGTACACAGTGAGTCAGCCTCACCCACCTCCTTAGACAGATTTTAACAAACTATTTTCTGGTCTGTCAGTGGTTGATGGTTTCCACATAGATCTTCTGAATAATGTCATTTAGGGATATTTACTCTTTTTAAAGTAAGTTTCCTCGATTGGCAATGAGCCAAATGCATTCTAAAACCTCATTTGAGTCTAAAATGGCAGCTAGTAAAGACAGTGGGTGTTGGGTTCCTCGCTGCCTACTAGTTCAACTGAATCCAGCCTTCAGGAGAACTCTGCCCCCCAGATTTGTCATCTTGCTAGAATGTTCCACCTGTGATAAATGACACAGTCCTCTCCTCCCTCTCCTCTCCTCCCCTCCCCTCCCCTCCTCTCCTCTCTTCTCCTTCCCTCCCCCTTCCTTCCCTCCCCCTTCCTTCCCTTCCCCTTCCCACCCTTTCTTTTACCTCCTCTTCCCTTCCCTCCCCTCCTCTCACCTACCTTCTCCTTTCCTTTCTTTTGGTTAGTCAATATGGCCTCATTAACTAGCCTGGGTCTCTACTTTCAAAAATTGAATTTAAATCTTTCAACCAGGACCCTGTAATTAACCATGATGAATTTTACTAATTCATAAAGAAGTTAAAGACATGAAAACAGAGGAGAGACCAGGTGGGAAGAGGCCGGGGATTGGCATGAAGGGAACAGTTAAGGGTATGAATATGATAAAAATATATGTATGTATGACAATGCCACAATGAGACACATTATTATACACAATTAATGTACGCTAATAAAAAGAGAAATTTGAATTTAGTGGTTCTAGAGCATGGCCTGGATACTCATATTAAAAGCCAAAGCAGAAGCAAGAAGCAACTGCAAAGCTCGTTTAAATGACTCTGATACAGAAAGAAGGGAAGAGGGGAAGGGGAAAATTTGAAGACCAATGCCTGCATGAACATTTCGGAAGATAGCCACTGAACACAGCTGTGGTATACAAGGTCTTGTGTAATGTTGCTGTCTGTCCCCTTTCCCCTTCTGTCTCCTCAGCATATGTCTTGTGTAACACTTCTCTCTGTCCCCTGTCCCCTCTGTCTCCTCAGCCATCATGTACGTCATGGGAGCACTTGGCCCTGCAGTAGGATACTTACTAGGTGGGCTGCTCATTGGCTTTTATGTGGATCCCAGAAATCCTGTTCACCTTGATCAGAACGACCCTCGGTTCATCGGAAACTGGTGAGTATTTTCCACATTTTCTATTTTGCTTTTTACTAGAGATAATCTGGCACTACTACTCCGCAGTTACAATTTCCCCAGCAAAAAGGAAAAAGGTAGCTAGCTAGACATTACCTGTACTAGATGGTGGGGGGAATAATTTCCACCACAAATAGCCATTTTCTTATCCCCAGAGCTTATGAATATGGGACCTTATGTGGTGAGGGGACTTTGAAGGGGGGTCACGTTAAGGATTTTGTGGGGGAGGTTATCTTAGGTGAAGGGGGAAGGAGGTGGCCAGATTCAGGTGGTCTGCTGATTAAAGAGGAGATTCTGGCAGTTCATTTTGAAGATGGATGAAGGACTGTGAACACAAGAATGCAGGCAGGACCTCTAAAAGTTTGGGAGGGAAGACAGGTTCTTTTTTAGCCAACATTTTCATATGGGATGTGCAGTAGATACCCAAAGCCTGGAACCTGGAGCGTGTTGTTGGAGCCGATGCACTTGTGTTATGTGAGTCGCTCCATGTGTGAGAGCTTGTCCGAACAGCAACAAGAAGCTAAAACAGACGTTGTTTGGATCACTGTGTCAAAAGCAGAGTGCAGGAAGAGGATATCCTTGATCCAGAGAGGACTTTCTGGGAAGATTGTTTTAACCCCATGTCCCATTACCTTTTCTGTGCTGTAGAGAAGAAAAATACTTTCTGTTCTACTTGGGGTTTTGTTGCTGTGATAAAACACTGACCAAACCTAATTTGGGGGAACAAAGGATCTATGTCACTTTGCATCACCGAGGGGAGCTAAGACAGAAACTCTTAAGCAGAAACCACAGAGGAATGATGCTTGCTGACATGCTTTTCATGGCTTGCTCAGCTCGAATCCTTACCTAACTCAGAGCTACCTGCCTAGGGTTGGAACCACCCGCAGTGGACTGGGTCCTCCCACACCCGTCACTAATTGAGAAAATGCCTGAAGACTTGCCCATACACCAGTCTGATGGAGGAGTTCCCCAGTTGAGAGTCGTTTCCCAGTAACAGTTGTTGGTATGGAGATGACAAAAACTATCAAGTGTGTGCCTATCCTCTTGGGCTCAGAGCTGTAGCTCTACTTTTCCATTTCTCTACTCTGAGCACATGTTTTCTTTTTGGAAACAGTTTTTTGCCCATATGTGCTGTACATTTAGCTGTTTTCTTACTTGCTAGAGAGTTCTGTCACATAAGTGATGTTCCAGACTTGGTAATTTCAACATCAGGTGCTGTACTATTTATCTGCAGAGCCAGACTTGTGTTTTAATTTGTCATGGGCCTCAACTTGAGTAAAACAAGTTCTTTCTTTATAAGAGCAGAGCCAGTAGCTGAAAATATAGAATGTTTTATCCTATTTCACTATAGGACAAGAAGTCATGTGACTCTGTGGTTGGTGGGACATGCGCATAACACAAATTTCTAAGAAGTTAACAGATACTAAGGAGGCCATTTGATAGCTTTGATTTTTACTGTAAGCATCATTGACGGTAGATGGACTGAGACCCATGTGGACTTGGCCTGCAGAGTATTTGAGTCATACAAAGGCGGGGGTGGGGGACTTGCCAGCAGTCGGGGAATAGCAAGGACTTTGAGGTCTAGACAGAGAGTGAAGATTTTGATCTCAGCTGTTTTCATTGTAGTTCTGGAATGAGTCAGAGTAAAAATTGTTTCTCATTGTTAGAAAACAGATTCCTAAAATATACTTATAAATGTCCAGTGTACACCCTGTATCCTACTTAGATATCTTGAGGCCAGCTCAGTAGGAAGGGAACTCGGGGAGGGAATGATGGCTGGCCGCACCAACAGAAGGGCAAGGTGTAGGAAGGATGTCAGGGGCTTTAGTCTGTCCCGTGCCTGATGCTGTCATTTATTACTGTTCTGGTTGACAGGCATCAGCTGGTGGCAGAACGGGTCTCTGTGGAGCACAGAACATCAAGTTGAATTCCTGTAATGTGCGCCTAAGAGCTGTGTGGGTTTCTGGACATTGCTTCTCTGTGCCTAGGTTACAGGGCTGTTGTGAGGAACGAGTTGACTATGGAGAGCTCTTAGCTCCTCTTGCTTTGACTTTCCTGTATGTCCTGGCCTTTGGTGGGTGTTTCTGTTTGTTTGTTTTTTGCAGTTCAGTAGAGGGTTGAGTGCTGGTCATGGACATAGCCGGCAGACGCTCTGTCCCTATGATACATTCCCAGTCTTCTCTTCTACCTTTTAATTTTCACTCCCAGTCTCACCAAGCTGATCAGGCTGGCCTTGGACTCACTCGTAGCCAAGGCTGGACTTGGACTTGCAGTCCTCCAGTCTTAGCCTTCTGAGTAGCTGGGATTATGGACCTGATGCACCAGACCAAGGCATCTTCATTGCTTTGAATTTAACAGTAGTAAGATAGTTTTATCTACCCACCTGACAGTTTAATCTTAATTTTATAAATGACCATCAGTTTAGAACTGAGTTTTTTAAAAAAATGAATTAGTTTTTTTTTTCTATTTGGTAGTCTTGCTGGTAATAGGTTTCTCACTGAATGCAATACTTAGAACCAAAGATACATTTTCATTGAACAGAGGTTGAAGGAGTGAAGAGATACATTATGCTGGTATTTATTAGACACCTACTGTGTGTCAAGCATTATAGTAGAGCTTAACACATGTATTCATTTAAGCCTTTTAACAATCAAATGGAACTTTTAACATCATGCCCACTTTATAGGTCAAGCAACTAATATCCAGGGAATTGAATTACTTGAATAAAGCCTCTGTGTGGTGTGCTGGGTTAAGGAACTGACAGGAGTGGACCCATTTGTCAGTCTCCTGTCCACCTATGGCTGGTTTGAAGAAGGGTTCCCGAGAAGGATTTGGATATCTGGGCCCCTTGAAGTTAACTGTGATGGAGGTGTCTTCTTCCAACACACACTGCATCTTCTCCTGCCACAGCTCCTCCCAGCGTCCCCTTCAGCTGTGTGCGTCGAGGCTGCCATTATTGCATGCTTCACATGGTTATTTCTTGAGGCTATTGAAGAACGTGAGCTGGTTTACTTTGCTTCTAGTTGACCCCAAGCTCTCTCATTTTTATTTGCTTGCTGTAATTCTTCCCTTCCTCTGAGACTGTATGTTGAGGATTGGCAAAATAGTTCAGTGGGTATAGGTGCTCGATGCACAAGCCTGGTTACCTGAATTCACTCCTGGGAACCTGTGTAAAGGATGAAGGAGAGGACAGTTGCCGCACACGCACACTACTGCCATATCACAACACGTTAGTATTAAATAAACATCTCAAGATTTAGAAACAAGAGTACCATCAAGAGCAGCATCATCCCAGGCTAGGGGAAGGTTGGGAATCTAGTCTAAGAGGATATCTACATTACAAACAAGCCCAAAGCGGCTGTTGCACATTACCTGCTGGTCTGGAGTGGGTGTTTCATTAGATCTGTTATAGGCACCATTTATTTAAATTTGATGACTCTCAAAAGCATTTTTAAACCTTCTTTTCAAATGAGAAACTCAACTGGGAAAATTAAATCATTCCTCATTAACTCAGGGCCACATGTCCTGGGTGGAACCATCAGCAGTGGGCTGGGTCCTCTCACACCCATCATTTATCAAGAAAATGGCCACAGACTTGCCCACACGCCAGTCTGACAGAGGCATTCTGTGGTTGAGATTCCTTAGTTAACATGTGGTGAAGACAAGATCCAAACCCAGATGTATCTAAGCCACAACTCATGACTGCCCTGAGTCCACTGCCTGCTGTCTCAAGGGAGGACGTGAGGCAGACAGTGGGGAGGCTTGGGGATCTTAAAGGCCAGAGGACAAATGGGGTGTGCTATGGGCAGTGACTGATGAAGGCCTGTAATCAGCCAGGCTCTGAAGGAGCCATGTTGATCCAGCTATGTTCCCCAACACTGATACCCACCACCCGTTTTAAACCTATTTCTTTCAATTTATGTATTGAACAAACTTTTGAATCTCTAACCTGTCCCAAGTACTAGATTGATAATTATACACCCCTAGGAAGCTCTCTGGCACACTAGCCACAGAATGAGATGCAAGTTCAGCCGTGTACCTTGTTGTAGTCCTAGGTGGTTGTTTCTTGCTCTGGCTGTCTTAAGTTCTTCACAAAAAAAGGTGAACTCTGAATGTCTTGATGTCCGTCATGTTTGTGAAGGGCTGTGAGGACTGAATAAGGGATGAGCAATGCATACCTAAGGACTTGCAAAGTATTTGAACCCATCAGCAAGAAGAATGCACACTGGACAAGAAGTTGGGGGTACAGCTTCAATCGCCAGCATCAAAAAGATGAAAAGCAAGCCACATTTCAGATTCACTTTTGTGTTCTTTTAAGAAAAAACGGTGAGCCAGGCATGCACCATCCCAGCACTCAGGAGGCAGAGGCAGGCAGATGTCTGTGAGTTTGAGGTCAGCCTGGTCTACACAGTGAGTTCTAAGATAGCCGTAGCTACACAGAAAAACCCTGTCTCAAAAAAATGAGTGGTGGTGTATATTGTTCCTCTAAGCGTGTGGGACAGTCTATTGTTGTTGTAGTAAATTTATTGTAGCTAGGTGTGGTGACTCAATCCTGTTATCATAGCACTCAGGGATCAGAGGAAGGCAGGTGTCATGGTCACCCTGAAATAATAACCAACTGAGGCTAGTTTGGGCTGCAGGAGACTCAGGCTTAAACAAAGGCAAACAAAATAAAACAAAAACTATTATGAAATGCACACTGGAGTAGAAATAATTGTGTCAGCAGACCCATAGCTGCTCGGGATTACGGATGACATCGTACTCAAGTTGTTGACTATATTAGCCACTATGGTCCTAGTATAATTATGAATTTTCCATTCATACCACAGAAAGGCAAGTTACCTTTGCTTTCTCAGTTTGTTCAGTTTTCTTCTCCCTTATAATAGATGACGGTAAAATGATTTCTCTGCACCTTTATTCTGACAAACCTCACTCTCTGCTTTGTTCTTACTCCCAAACTGAAGCCATAAATACAACTGACATTTCCCAATTTTCTAGGTGGAGTGGATTCCTTCTTTGTGCCATTGCAATGTTTCTTGTGATATTCCCAATGTTTACTTTTCCAAAAAAGCTTCCGCCTCGACACAAGAAAAAGAAAAAGTTTTCTGCCGATGTCGTTAGTGACGATGACATAATCAAGGAGAAATCAAACACGAGCGAGCAAGTGAACAAAAAAGTTTCTTCAATGGGCTTTGGAAAGAATATCAGAGGTAAAGTATATCTCTTACGGGAATTCATGCATGGTACTTCAGGCCGGTGCTCTGCCAAGTGTGGGTCCAAGGAGGTGTGGCTCAGAGGTAGAGTGCTGGGGTCTTGAGTTTGATGCTCAGCAGGGCCCCAAAATATGAACCCTGTGACTCCACACCAGGGTCCCCCCACAGTTGTTTGTTGCTCGCTGGCCAGATGAGTACTACATTTGAGAGGAAGGGCTACAAATGTCACTTTAGAAATTTGAGAGAATGACCTCTTTGAGGGATGGTGTGGGACAGCAAGAGCAAGGTGGGACAGTGACACAGAGTGACAGTTGAGAAGAGGGACAAATAAGAACAAAACAAAATGACAGATATGTAGAGAGCTGCAGCAGAACCTATTGCTCTGTGAACTAGTTTTTAAAAAAGAAACTTAAGTGAATGATTTTATCTGTTGAATTTGATAACAGTAATAAAAAGTGAGGCTTTTATTTTGCAAGTCTTTAAAGGGAGGGGTAGCCTGAGGATCAGAGATCCAATTCTGGACCCCATGATAGCCGAAGTGAAACACTTTCAAGGAATGTCCTCTTACCTCAACGCACATGAGGTGACATGAGCCTGACACTCATGTGCACACATCATACACACTTACACACACTAATAGTGAAAAGTAAAAATGAAACATAAAAACAAGCAGACAAAAATCCTAACAATTCATTTTGAGTATGTTTTGCAAAAAATTACTAGTAGATGATAGGTTAAATAATATAAGAAACGGCCACCCTCCGAGGAGTTTGAGGGTCACTTCTTTAGGTCACAAAGATACCCAGAACTAGGTGTAGCATTCACTGCAATTGCTGATGTCTGGCTTCTAACACCATGATCACATCATATAAAGCAGAGTTTGTTCTAGGGAAGCAGTAAGGTAGTATAGGGCGATCCTTACGTAAGTATGAAAATTCACTAGAAAGGAGTACTATTCTTTGGTGACGCCATCAGTTATGGACTCACCTGTGTGAATGTCCTGGCAGAAGAACATTATTCTGTTTTTTCATCTTTCTCTTAAAAAATAATGTGTTTAGCACACCTTTAATCCTAGGGTGGGGCCAGGGCAGGGAGGTTTCTGTGAATTTGAGGCCAGCTTGGTATATATAGGGAGTTCTAAGCCAGTCAGATCTAGTCAGTGAGATTGGGTTTTAAAGAGGAAAGTGATTGTGGTGTTGGTAGTGGCAGTAGCAATCAATAATGATAGTGAGTTCATTAACGTCAGGTTAAACAATGTAAAACCCAAGCAACTTAAATGGCTTCTAAGTAGGCAGTCTTTGACCTATCAAATGGCTGTTAGTCCCCTTTGTTTAAGGAGCCTATGAGTTCTTAAACAATGATGCCCATTCATTGTTTTCCATTTTATATCCTGAATTCTTTGAATTAACTTTTGTATAAATTGTAGAGCGTGGTGTTTATCAAATGTTCATGACAAAATGACTCCAGCATTTTGGCTATGCACATAGTGAGACAGAAGGTTACTAATATGTCACAGAGTTGTCCCTACAACCTAAGAAGGACAATACACTAGAACATTGCTAAAGACTACTTGTTAAAAGCAAGTATCAGTATTTGGAAGAAAGCTGTTTCTTTCTTTAAGTTGTAGATCCAATCTCTTTCCTCCCATTACCTTGTGACAATGTGTTCTTTTGTAACCGCTGAAATGACTTCTGTTACTATTGTGGCACAAAAAGATTCTCTGGCCTGAGCTCTTCCGTGTAGGTCAGCCCACCATTTTCCAGCTTCATAATGGACCATCAAGATGATCACACAAACTGATTTCTCCTAGAGATTTATTTCACTTTTAATTATGTATGTGTATGCATGTGCCTGTGTAGGTGCAGGTACCTTTGGAGTCCAGAAGAGGACTCTGGATCTCCTGAAGTTCAGGTTACAAGTGGTGGTGAAATGTTTGATGCTGGTGCTGGGAACTCTTGGGACCTCTGCAAGACCTAACCACTGAGCCATCTCTCCAGACCCTACAATTGGTTTTACAACTTAATTAAGATGAAGTTGGTATTAAGTAATTTAAAACATAGAAATATATTTGGAATTTTAATTTGGGTGAATACAAAGTAGACTTAAGGGAAGAAGTATTTATATTTCATAAATTAGGACTTCAATGTGAAATAGATCAACTGGACAGTAGAAGAGGGTATAGATATCAAGTGCTAAAGTCCATACAACTGCTAATGTTTTTTCTAAAGATATATTCATTATATTTTACTTGTATGAGCATTTGCCTACATGCTTATCTGTATACCACTTGCATGCTTGCCACCTGAAGGAGCCAGTAGAGGGCGCCAGATCCCCTGGAATGGAAATCCCAGGTTGTTACAGTGGCTGCTGTGAGAGTGCTGGGAAACAAACCCGGTCCCCTGCAGAAGCTGAAAGTGCCCTTCCCTGGTGAGCCATTTCCAGGCCTTGAGGCTTTTTCTAAGTTCTTCAGCTGCCCTTTCTTTTCATGAATCTCTGCCTTGTTCTCTTCCCAGTGCTCGAAATTTCCATAGCAGTGGGGGTGGGGGTCGGGTGGGGCTTTCTACCATCATATCAAAATGAGAAGAATCTATTCTGAATTTAAGACGTGTTTATGGAATTTTACATACTAATTCATTAGTTTTTTTAATACTGCAAAGAATTTGGGTTTCTGACTTTTCTGCACAGGTGTGGATCATCTGGTGTGTGTGTGTGTGTGTGTGTGTTTGTGTGTGAGTGTGTGTGTGAGTGTGTGTGTCTGTGAGTGTATGTGTGTGAGTGTGTGTGTGTGTGTATGTGTGTGTGTGTGTGTGTGTGTGAGGAGTCTGACTATGTTGTGTAGTTGGTTTATGAAATAAGTTTCCAGTCTGATTTTCTTGCTCATATTTCTGATAAATTCTCATGTTTACTCTCTTTCTGGATTACAATGTATAAACCTCATAGATAGGACACACTGTTAATTCTTAACTCTACTTATGCAAGATGGATTCTCTAGATGATTTTAGAATGGAAGTTCAAGACAGAATCTAGTGTCGCCTAGGCTGGCCTTAAACTCATTATGTAGCTGAAACTGGCCTTGGAACTCTGATCCTCTTGCCTCAATCTTTGAATGTTCAGATGATGGGCACGTTCCACCACACCCAACCTAGTTTACTTGTTAAACAGAAATATGTTTTAATAGGATATACTAAAAGTCCTCTTGATAAAAATGTCTTAAACTATACTGATGGCATTGGAAGGACGTTTCACTGAAGTATTTAAATCAGTTCATTTATCTTGTACACACCGATATTCCTTACAGTACTTACTGCAAAGCAGCTGTTGGAAGTACCATTCTAATTTCTAATCCAGCACGGAGAAGGTCAAATGAAACCTCTGGGTACAAATTCAGGCTTGGTATGATCTGCCTCATGGAGCCGAGGCTCCTGGTGAAGGCCTTGCATTATAGAATGGTTTAGATTTCATTCTGAGTTAAGTAGGAGCTTGAGTCCTGAGTATTTTTTTCTCTCATTGTCTGGAGCAGGGTTTCCTTTCATCTTTATTTTTTGTGTGTATCCATCAATACCAGCTCTTTTAAAGAGGAAATTGATAGCCCAGCTATCGATTTGTACTTCCTTAAAAAGAAGAAAACGATTTCTGCTTTACAGAATGGTGCCTTTCTGGTTTGTTTTATTTGAAGACAGGGTCTTGCTGTGTCACCCAAGCTGGTTTTGAACTTCTGGGTTTAAGTGACCCCTTGCTAAGCTTCCCACATAACTGGGACTAGCATGGCATGCCACCACACCTGGTTAGAAGCCTTCCTCTCTTGCTGAGGCTACTAGAAGAACATCCATTGCGTGTTCTATTTTTTTGCTTCCCCATTTTGATACAGATGTTGGGAAAATCTGACTCAGGTTTCTAGATTCTAATAAATTATGTAGAATGAGGTTGTTGTAAAACACCACAGAGAAGAAAGTCGAAACTTAAGTGTGTCTGTATTGCCTTTCAAGAAAGAGATTAACATTGATTCCATCAAAATCTTAACAAAAATAAACACATAGAATATTTAAGTGGATCAATGTTCTTGTGGTTTGAGGCCTAGGATTTTAAGACCTTTCCCATTTAACTAGCATCTTTCTGCATAGAAAAAAAAAGGCAGCAGTTGACTTTCCTTTGTGCTTACTTTTAATTGTTTCCTATTATTAATTTAGCATAAAATAGAATTTCTTCTAACTAGGATTTTGTCTGCATTGGTGTGCAATATGTTTATAATCATAAGCAAATAGCGAAGTTATTTTATGATTGTTGTTGTAGTCATTGTCATTAAAGGATAATGTGAGGGTCTGAGGAGATAGCTCAGCCAGTAAACGGCCATCTGAGTGAGCAGGAGGATCTGGGTTTAGATCCCCAGAATCTGTAAAACTCAAGTGTCACAGTGCTGGCGGTGGGGCAGGCTGTGGTGAGGTTGGGATAAAAATGGGGCAGATCCCATAGAAAACTTCAGACTTGGTTGTAGCTCTTTTGAGTGAGCTGTATTTTGCAGAATTCTCTGGGAGAGACTGGAGAAGCAAAAGAGAGTATATCGTGAACCACAGAAGGCTAGGATGCGCCCCAGCCGTGGAATGTCTGCTTGACATGTACAAAGCTCTGGATTTGTTCCCCAGCACCACAAAAGAACCATAAAGAGAGAATATGACTGAGTGAGGGCAGGAGACTGAGCACTTATGGAAGAATCAGGGAAGGTGATACAAGGTGGATCACCTGATCCCTGTAGAGGTGGGATAGCCAAGAGTCCCAGGTAGAGAGAATCAAGTGCGAAGTGTAGACGGGTTTGGAAGTACTGAATAGGTTTCTTATGTTTGACACATTGTTGAGCGTATTTGGTGGACTCCTGGATGGTAAAGCATGGGAGGCGTGTGTGTGCACAAGCATGCCTGAATGTGTGAGTGTGTGGGTGCACAGGCATGCGCGTTGGGTTATATTGTAGAGCACTTGGCTGCAGGTACCCCACCCAGTCTTTC